GCCAGACGCGCTCTCTCCTGCTCTTTCCTCTCCATGCACCGCTTCACCTCCTCCAACTCAGACGCCATTGTGTTGAAGTTCAGCTGCACTCTCAAATCTGACATCTGCTTCTCCAGATCCCGTTTCTCCCGCTCAACCCCTTAAAAGATAAAATGGAAAGCTAGAAGGTTTGCTCTTTATTCACAAGAGAACGTACTGTCAAATGGTACTGAGCCAATGTTTTCATATTCTGACTAACATGATCCACTTATTGACACTGTCACTCAACAGGATTTGTAGACGCTGCAGTCTACTGTTTCATGTCTCACAGAGTTTTCAAAAATATATACATTACTGTGTCACCCAATATTATTTCACTTTGATACTATTCGTTAAAGTGTTAACCTGATTTGCAGTACAATTTATTTCAGAAAAATCCTACACTTTTTTTCTGTAACTACCTTCACATTCCTACATTCTTCCTTCCAGCTCTAAAGAACAAAAATATAGAAAGGAAATCTTCAACTAAGCAACTCCATCTAAATAAAGTTACTGAATTGCACACAACAAAATGTTTTTCATAAACAAGTGATGCTGATCAATCTCTAACAGTGAGGGATCACCAACTCAGTAATTCTAACACTGGACACAACTATATGAAATTATAACATAAAACCACATAACTTGATTTAGTACTTAATTCAACATGAAACACTTTGGTCTATGATGCACTCTTGTACCATTTCCTTCAAATACAAAGATTAATCCTGAAAGAATTGAAGTCTAAGAACAGAAACAAGATACATAAAGTAAATTTATAAACCAAAGATGTTAACAATTAGAACACAAACAATGCATTTGAACTGTTATTTTTCTACAAAAGGAAGGATAGGAGAGAGAAAGAATAGAGCAAACACTGCAGATCAAAATATTAGATCATGCTAGGACACGTCTTAACTCTAGAAATATTAAAGTGTTCAAAATTGTATATCTTAGAATGGAAGACACAGAGGCATTTTAATATCATGACAATAGCACTGGCAGATACATAAGCATTATACAGAAATAGTACAAAGAAGTGATTCACTCTATCTTGATGAGAACCTGAAGTAGGAAAAATTGGGAACTCAGATTTAAAGAAGGAATACAAAAGTTCACCAAGCAAAGGAGATGGAGTTAAGTGTTATTTCAGGAAAAGGAAACAGCATAAAGCACAGAGGTACAAGACTGTATTCTACATTCAGGTAAACAAAGTTGTTCTATATAATTACATATCAAATAAGGAAGAAAACAGAGAGAGGCAGTAGGGAGTTTTATACCTTGCTAGGAGTTTACAATGTATCCCATAGACCAAGGCCCAGTGAACTTTTTCTGCAAAGGGCAGACAGTAAGTATTTTAAGACATATGGTCTTTGTCACAACTACTCAACTATGCCACTGTACCATGAAAGCCTCCAAAGACAGTGAATAAATGAAAAGGAGTAGCTGTGTTCCAATAAAAGTTATTTACAGAAACAGGCAGTGAGCTGGATTTGGCCCAGGGTCTACTATAGTTTACCCACCCTTGAGAGGTCTCCAATCCGAAAATATGCATTTTTGTGTGCTGCCTAGTATTCCATTGTGTGTATTGACCACAGCTCAGTTATCCATCCCTCTGTTGACGGGCACTTGGGTTGTTTCCATCTCTTTGATATCATGAAAAGTGCTGAGATGAATATGGGTGTGCATATATCAATTCACACTCTTTAGTGTATCTATCTAATAAGGGGACTGCTGGATCAAATGGTATTTCTATTTCCAACTTTTTAAGGAATCACCATACTGATTTCCACAGTCATTATATATATATATATATCATTTTACAGAGCCACCAGCTGTGTATGAGAGTTCCAATCTCTCCACATCCCCACAAGCATTGTTATTTTCTGTCCTGTTAAACTTTGCTATTAATCCTGGAGTGAGATGGTATCTCATGGTTGTTTTGAATTGCATCTCTCTAATGGCTAATGGTGAACATTTCTTCATGTTTGTTGGTTGCCTGAGTATCTTCTTTGGTGAAGTGTCTGTTCATGTCCTCTGCCCAATTTCAATTGGGTTGTTTGTCTTTTTGATGTTGAGTTGCTGGAGTTTCCTATAAATTTTAGAGATAAGACCCTTGCCAGCTATCATTGCTGAATATTTTTTCCCAAACTGTAGGGTCTCTTTTTACTCTTTTGGAGAAAGCTTTTGACGTACTTAAGAATTTAATTTTTAGAAGATTCCAATGATCTAGTTTACCTTCTGCTGTTTGTGCATTTTGGGTTATGCTTGATAGTCTATTTATGCCATAATTAGGGTCTTTTTTTTTTTCTTTGATGAACTTTATAGTTTTAGGCTCATATTTAAGTCTTTGATCCACCTAGAGTTAGGTTTTGCATATGGTGTGAGATTTGGGTCTTGTTTCATCTTTCTGCCAGTACCATTTGTTAAAGACACTATTTCAACCCCATTTAATGGATTTTGACCCACTATCAAAGATGAGCTGAGCATAGGTGGATAGATCTATTTCTGTTTCTCAATTCTGTTCCACTAGTCTATGTGTCTGTCATGGTATAAAACACAAGGCAGTTCTGATTTCTGTGGCTGTATAGGAGGTTGTGAGATCTGGAGTGTGAGACCTCCTTTGTTCCTCTTCTTCAGTAGTGCTTTGCTTATCCCTGGTCTCTTTCTTTTCCATATAAAATAAGTGATTGATTTTTCCATGCCTTTAAAGAATGCTAATGGAATCTAGATCAGGATGGCACTGAATGTATAGGTAGCTTTGGGTAGTACTGACATTTTCAGTGTTCATTCTCTCTATCCATGAGCATGGTATGTTCTTCTAATTATGTAAATCTCTTACAGTTTCTTGAAACAATGTTTTGAAGTCTTCTTTGTATAAGTCTTTTGTGACCTTGGTAAGATTTATTCCCAAGTATTTGCTCTTTTTGGTAGCTATTATAAATGGTTTGATATGATCATGTGGTTCTTTTCCTTTGTTTTACTCATGTGATGGATTATGTTGATTGTTTTTCTAAGGTTGAACCACCCTTGCATAGCTGGTATGAATCCCACTTGTTCATGATGTATTATTTTTTGATATGTTATTGGATATTATTGACTAGGATTTTGTTGAAGAGTTTTGCATCTATATTCATAAGGGACACTGGTCTATATTTTCCTTTCTAGTGGTGTTTTGCCTCATTTTGGTACCAGGATTATGTTTGCTGCATAAAATGAATTTAGTAGGATTTCATCCTTCTTTATGCTCTGGAATAGTTTGAGTAGGATTGGTATCAGTTCTCCTATTAGATATGTTTAAGGTTTGGATTTTAGGATGTCTGAATAGAAGATGATGCCATCAACTGAATGAGGAAAGAAAAGCAAGTTTTAAGAGGAGGATGAATTCCCTTTTTGATGTGTTGACTGAGCATTCTGTGGAATCACATATGGAGATGTCTAGTGAGCAACCACATCTGAGGGGCTGAAGGTCAGAAGAGAGAGCAGAGCGTGACTCAGGGATCAGCATTTATAGGTGACAGCTAAAACACGAGATAAATATAGCAAGCCCTAGGAAAAAGTACTGAGTGAGAAAATCCATGAACAGGATACTAGACAATAAAAATCAAAAGGAAAAAAAAAACCCAAACCCACTGCCATTGAGTTGATTCCAACTCATAGCAACCCTCATTGGGTTTCCAAGGTGGTAAATCTTTATGGAAGTAGACTGCCTAGTCTTGCTTCTGCGGAGTGGCTGGTGGGTTTGAACCACCAACTTTCTGATTAACAGTCAGATGCCTTAGGCACTGTGCTCTGTACCAGAGCTCCCTTACTAGACAATACTAGTGTTTAAAGCATAAAGCATAAACATAAAGGGAAAAGATTCCAATAAGAAGCATGAAAACAATTATGGCAAAGGAACCGAGAAAGGGTGGTGGCATTGAAGTCAGTGCAAGCTTTCAAGAAGGAAGGGAAGTAAAAGGGGTCAAGTAAAGTAAATAATGTAACGATTCCTTTGAATTTGATTGAGGAGTTCACAAGTAAACCAAGAGAGGTCTACTTTAGAAGCAGGGGTGGAAGCCATTCTTCAGTGAGCTGTGGAATAAACAGCAGCTGGAATATGACAATGAGAGTACTTTCTTATGAAGTATTGTTTCTAAATAATATAAATATTTTATAAGGATCAAAACAATACAGAATTTTTCAAAAAGATGAAGTTCATTAAGATACTGAAAAAAATGAACTTTCAAAGACATTTTTTTTAAAGACTTGGTATGCTGTAAAGAAAATAAGGATTCTTCCAGTCTTCAAAGGATTACACTGAAAATAACTAGATTCTATGAGGCATCAAAACATATAAGAAGTGTGTCAAAGAAGTCTTTTTCAAACACAATGAGAGTTCTCACATATATTTCAATGAAAATTTGATGTATAATTAAAAGTACACGATTTTACTTTTATAAACAAATGAAAATATATTAAACAGTAAATAATATTGAATTCCAATATCATCAAAGTTAAGTGAATTTAACGGAATATAAATATATTAGGATGGCAGTGTCAATATCCCACCACTCATCTGTCAGTTTGTCATGTTGTGGTGGCTTGCGTGTTGTTGTGAGTCTGGAGGCTATGCTACTGGTTGTTGTTGTTGTTGTTGTTGTTATGTGCCGAGTCGGCCCGACTCATAGCAACCCCTCCTTGGGTTTCCGAGGCAGTATCACTACGGAAGTAGGATTGCCCAACCTTCCTTCTGAGGAGTGGCTGGTGGGTTTGAACCACCAGCCGTCTGGTTAGCAGGCAAGTGTCTTAGCCACTACGCTACCAGAGCTCCCTGGTAGGTATTTCAAATACCAGCAGGGTCCCCCATGGTGGGCACATTTCAGTGGAGCTTCCAGACTAAGACAGACTGGGAAGAAGGACATGGCCATACACTTCTGGAAAAGTTGGCCATTGAAAACTTTATGAATAGCAGTGAAACACTGTCTGATATATTACTGGAAAACTTTATGGATAGCCCTGAAACACTGTCTGCTACAATGCCCAAAGGTGAGCTCCTAAGGTAGAAATACACTCCAAATACGAGGGGGATGAGCCCTCTCCCCAAAGTGGAGGTGACCTTAATGATGTGGATGGAATAAAGCTTTCAGGACCTTCATTTGCTGATGGGGCACAACTCAAAATGGGAAGAAACAGCTGCTAATATCCATAAATAATAGAATGTACAAAGTATGTATGTAGGAAAATTGGAAGTTGTCAAAACTGAAATGAAACAGGTAAACACCAATATCTTACGCATTAGTGAGCTTCAATGAACTGGAATTAGCCATTTGGAAAAAGATTATTATGTGGTCTACTATGCTATGAGTGACAAATCAAATAGGAACAGCATTTCATTCCTCGTCAACAAGAACGTTTCAAGATCTGTCCTGAAGTATAATACTGTCAGTGATAGGATAATATCAATACACCCACAAGGAGGACCAGTTAATATGACTATTATTCAAATTATGCACCAGCCACTAAAGCCACAGACAAGGAAATTGAAGATTTTTACCAACTTCTGCAGTCTGTAATTGACCAAATATGCAATCAATATATATTGATTATTACTGGTGATTGCAACACAAAAGTTGGAAACAAAGAAGAATCACTGGAAGTTGAAAACTATGGCCATGGTGACAGAAATGACTTCGGAGATCACATGACAGGATTTTGCAAGACCAACAACTTACTCATTGCAAATAACTTTTTTCAACAACATAAACAGCAGCTATACAAGTGGACCTCACCAGACGGAATGCACAGGAATCAAATTGACTACATCTATAGAGAGAGGCAATGGAGAAGCTCAACATCATCAGTCAAAACAAGTTCAAGAGCTGACTGTGGAAAAGACCATCAATTGCTCATATGCAAGTTCAAGATGAAGCTGAAGAAAATTCAAACAAGTCCACAAGAGCAAAAATATGACCTTGATTATACCCCACCTGAATCTGGAGATAATCTGAAGAACAGATTTGATACACTGAACACCAATGACCAAAAAACAGACAACTTGTAAGATGACATCAGGAACATCATACAAGAAAAAAGCAAGAGGTCATTAAAAAGACAAGAAAGGAAATGACCAAAATGGATGGATCCTTTGCAGGATCTTTCTAAGAAAAAGTCCAATGAGGTAAGTAGATCTGAAAGCTCAAATGTGTTTAGAAATCAGGCACAGCCAGTATCAGAATGGAATGCTAGATTATGCTAAACCTGTGGGAAAACCTTGCAATAGATCAACAAAACAGATACGATGACAATAGCACAATAGAACAAATGCCCTCTGACCCCAGCTGCAATCCAGTTGCTTCTGACTTGGGGCGACCCTACATGTGTCAGCCAGAACTGTGTTCCGGAGAGCTGTCAATGGCTGACCTTCCAGAGGTAAATCACCAGGCTTTTCTTCAAACTGATAGCCTTTTGATTAGCAGCCAAGCATGCAAACAGTTTGCACCATTCAAAGATTCCATTTTCTAAGAAACCAAAAAGACATTTATAAATCAGAGTTTTACCTCTCCTAAACCTCCAGTCATCTGCTTGCTCATCCCGATGGTCTGACTGTTGTTTAGAAATCTGAGATACCTGATGTTGTAGACCCTTTCGATCGCCTTCTGCTTTTATTAGTTGTGTACGCAGTTCTTCTATCTAAATAAAAAAATGTCAAAAATGAAACTATTATCAGTTTTCGACAGCAGGAAAAAAATTAATTCAGCTTACAAATTATTACCAATTATTGCCATTGGGGAAAAAATTTCCATCTAATGAGCTACTGTGAAAACAAAATGAAGCCAAATTAATCTCCCTGCTCTATCAAATAACATGGAATTGTTTGTCGTTCATTCCATTTCTTCATTCCTCCCATCCCTTCCATAAAGAATAAATGTCTTTTCCTTAGTGAGTCTATTATGAAAAAGAATGTGACCATATTTAAAAAAGAAAAAAGAAAAAAAAACACTTATTCTGACACAGTCCACTGCAGCACTATTAACCCAAACTACTCCCAATTACGTACTGCATATTTTCATGGTTTTTATATTTTTTACCTAATATCCTCCATGTGAACATAGTCTATTACAGGTAGTCCTCAACTTATGATGTATTCGAGTTATAATGAATGGCACTTAAGATTGTCTGTGTTTCTTTTTTTGTGTGTGCATCTGATCATTAGGAACATGTACTACATACAGTGCTGTCGCCCATAATTTGCTGATGTTACCATTCTCAAACGTTCATTCTCAGATGTTCAAAGATTGGATTTACAAAGATAACAGATAATAAAAGGCAATAATAATGAAAACTAAAAATTAAAAGGAGGTATTTGACTCATGTCAGAACCAACTGACAACAGAGTCATCGGAACAGGGCCCTGTCGTAAGTCAAGAACTACCTGTAGTTGGTAAATTAAAATAAAAGGATCATGATTTGGCATATTTTTCTATCAGAACAGTACTCAAAATAAATGAGCAATAAATGTTGTTGAATAAACTAGGATCTCCTTGAGGGAGGGCACTCACTCTCTCTCTCCGTCTTTGTATTTCTAGAGATAAGCAAAGGCCTAGCATACAGCAGATACTGTATTTTATTTAATAAATAAAGTTAGCATTGGCCAAAAGATTCAGCTAAAGTCACAATGACAATTTTAACACAGAAATCTCCTGCTTCAAAAACTGAAATTAGAGACTGAGTCAATGTTCCAAAAAAAATCAGAACAGAATTGAATACAAACACAAACCACCAAAAAAGAAAGTCTGAACTCTGCCAACATTAATTCCATGTGGCCACTGGCTACAGAACAAAGTCAGTGAACATTTTTAAAGGTTTTATAAAACAGGTGCTACAGTGTATTTCCAGCACCAATTGTCAATAGGCAGTATTCCTTCTAAACATCTACAATGCCTGACGTGTTTGCCTACGAAGCAATTATATAGATGAGTTATGTAACACACACTTCAAAAGAAAGGAGTGTGTATTTGCAGTTTATATTAAACATAGGCAGAGAGGCACTTAAAAACCCACATGCCTTTTTCTAGTGTATATAAGATGCCTATTTAAAGTTATTGAACTTTAAATATCAGAAGTGCCAAACTCCTATTATGGGCTAATGAGCACAAAATGTTATGCTTAGAAATTAAGCCTTATCTTTGGTTAAAATGGGGTAGCTGACATCCTGAAAACCTGAATATATGACAATGAAGCATTCAAAGTAACTTGAACATGCATAGGTTTGCTTCATGTGTTTTACTTCCTCCTTGCCTCGAAGGCCTCCTGCAATAAAATTAAGCTCTGGGGGAAATTTTACCTTACACATTCAGTCTCTCTCTCTACTGGCCATGCTGTGAGAGAAATAAGTAGTAAATTGCAGCAGCAATCAGCAAGAAACACTGCCACCTGGCCTGGACCTGTGTGCTGCACTAGCTTTCTCTGCATCTTCCTGAGAAGATTTTCATCTTTTGCTTCAATGTGCTACAACACATTCATTAAGGAAAGATTTTTCTAGAACTGCTGTTTTTTTTTTTAATCTTTCATAGAGACATGATAGAGGAGATTCAATTGTGATTGAACAGAAAAGCATATGTGCATAGCTTGCATAGACTTACCTGACACATAAGTGTTTCTCTGCTGCCTTCTGATTGATTCAATAACCTTCGAGATCGCTCCAACTCCTGTTCAAGCTAGAAGATAAAGAAAAATGTTTAAATATCCAGTGGGGCAAAACTAAATTATTACAGGCAAAGGTTAAAGCTATTTAGAGCTAATGTTGTTGTTGCTAGCTGCCGCAGAGTTGGCTCTGACTCACAGTGAGCCTGTATACAACAGAACGAAACACTCCCCACTCCTGTGCCAGCCTTCCAATTCTTGCTACACCTGAAACCATCGTTGCAGCCACTGTGCCAATCCATTTTGTTGAGGGTCTTCCCCTTTTTCACTGACCCTCTACTTTACCAAGCATAATATCCTTCTCTAAGGAATGGTCCCTTCTGACAACATGACCAAAGTAGGTGAGACAAAGTCTGCCCATTCTCGCCTCCAAGTTAATATGCAAAATCTTGCTATAAACAGTTATTAATACTTCTATTAAAAGAATGTGAATTGCATAATATAAAATGAACTGGACCAGACCTCAGGATCTTGTGTAAGACTCTTCTCCTCATTCCTTTATTTTGTCATCTCTAACATAAGGATCTTGTATTTGACAATCTCTAAGGTCCCTTCCAGGAGCTCTGGAAGCATAGTGCCTAAGGCACTTGACTATTAACCAGAATGCTGGAAGTTCAAACCCACCAGCCACTCCTCGGAAGGAAGATGGGGCAATCTACTTCTGTAGTGATACTGCCTCGGAAACCCAAGGAGGTGTTGCTATAAGTCATGTCCGACTCAACGGCACATAACAACAACAACAAAGGTCCCTTCCAAAAATCCTTGATGGTACAATGGTTAAGCACTTGGCTGCTAACCAAAAGGTCAGTGGTTTGAACCCACCAGACACTCCATGGAAGAAAGATGTGATAATCTGCTTCTGTAAAGATTAGAGCTTTGGAAACCCTCTGGGGTAGTTCCATTCTGTCCTGTAGTGTCACGATGAGTCAGAATCAACTCGACAGTAACAAGTTTGATTATTTTTAGTGAAGGTCCCCTCCAGCTTTAAAACATTGTAATCTGAGTTTTAAAACTTTTTTTTTCCTTTAAATTATCACATATACTATCAACTGAACTGAATTAGAATAAACACTGCAGGGACCCAATAACTCAAAGTACATTTCCTCTAATTGGTAATTTCATATTCCAAGAATTTCATTTCAATTGAGATTTTAAAATATGAGACTAAGACATTTTTAATTGTTTAAACAACACTGCAACTAGATAAATGTCCATGGAAAGAGAGGCTAGTTAGATAAATAAATACTCTACAAAGTCAGCATGTGGCTACCCTATTTCTAATTGGAAAATGTAATAGGATGGATACCAGTTTGTTAAAAGCGCAGAGCTTACATATAGTTAAAGCATTTTGCTGCTAACTGAAAGGTCAGCAGTATGAACCCACAGTGGCTCTGCAGGAAGAAAAAGCCCAGAAGTCTGCTCCCATAAGGACTAAAGCCTGGGATACTCAATGGTACAGCTCCACCCTGCAGTACAGAGTTGCTATGAGTCGGAACCAACTAGATGGTACACAATAACACTTTTGTTAGTACTCTGTAACAATAAGTTTCTTTTATAAAATCACAAGTTTATATTAAGATGTTTTTAGTTAAATTAGAAATAAATGCACTGCCAGTGAGTTGATTCCAACTCATACAGACCCCCCATTGGGTTTCCAAGGCTCTAAATCTCTATGGAAGGTAGACTGCCTCATCTTCCTTCTGCCGAGCAGCTGCGGGGCTTTGAACTGCCGTCCTTAGTAATTATTATTTCATTCGAACAAACCACTATCTATGTACTCAACAAAAAAATTCAATTCACTGCTGTCGAGTCAATTTGACTCACAGCAACCCCCCCTTGGGTTTCTGAGGTGGTTTCTCTACAAAAGTAGATTGCCTCATCTTCCTTCCAAGAAGTAGCTGGTGGGTTTGAGACGCCAGTCTTCTGATTAGCAGTCAAATGCCTTAGACACTAAACCATCAGAGCTCCCATCTATATACTAGTCCTTTAAAATTGTACATGTTGTGGGTGTGGCTATCAAGGGGTAATACCACAAGGGAGCCTACTGGTAATGAAAGAATTCTGTATCTTGACTGTGGTGGTAGTAAAATGAATCCACACAAGAAATAAAATTGCATATAAATACACACACAGATACAGATACACACAGAGAGATGAACAAATGTAAAACTACTGGAATCTGAATAAACTCTAAGGGATTGTACTAATGTCAGTTTTCCTGGTTTTGATAATGAACTAAAGAAAACAACCCAACTCACTGCCATCAAGTCGATTCCAACCTACAGCAACCCCCTTTGGGTTTCTGAGGCAGTGAATCTTTATGGAAGTAGATTGCCCAGTCTTCCCTCCAGAGTGGATGGTGGGTTTGAACCACCAACCTTCTGGTGCCTTAGGCACTACACCACCAGAGCTCCTTTGACAATGAACTACAGTTATGTAACATGTTACTACTGAGAGAAACTGAGTAAAGAGCATACAGGATCTCTCCATACGTTTATATTTTTACAACATCAGATGAATCTATAATTATTTCATAATTTTTTTAAAACTCCAGTTATATAATTTTTTTAATTGTACATTTAGCTCATAAAATAAATGGCATTATTCATTGCTGTTCATCTGGCTCTATGGATAAATAAAGAGAAATTCAATCCAGGATGCCACTGGAATTGACTAAGGTCCATGCTGGTCATATTCCCCACGTAACACAAGCAGCCTCAACCACCAAAGGGCAAACTTCCCAACCTAACGTAGCTTGCCTTCTTACAAGTCAGCATGGAAGCAGTATTTAACTTCACACAGGTGAGTGAAATGAAAGAAAGAACTTAAGCATAGATAAAAAAAAAAGTGATTTAGAGAAAAGAACATTAAATCAAGTCAAATGTCTAGGCCATTATGCATTAAGTTGGCCTCACCCTTCGGTCTACTTATCTGCCTCTGATTTCCTTTCTAACTCTCTACTACTGGGCTGCACATGGTCACAGACATGAATTTATATCAAGGATCCTTAGCATTTACGAGAATAGGGAATGTTTTCAGGGCAAGACTGTTCATTATGTCTATATTCTATAATGGAAATGAATATATGCAAAATAGCCAGCCTTCAAACAACAGGTCTTTCCTAAACCTGCAGCAAAGCCAAGCTCCTTACATATTCCCCAGGTAGGAGAGACAGAGTTCCACTCGCTGTAGGAAAGCAGAGCAACCACACACAACAAGTTGGCAAAGCTGTGTGCGTTTCCAGGACAATTAGAAGAGTGTAGAACATCAAACCAAGTAAATCCACATCCAATCGTAGGCTTCATTGTGCTACAACAAATGATCTCAGAGATATTTCTCAAGGCACTCAACAAATATCACTGAACCCAAAAAGCATTATTACTCTTTGAAAGATAACTTGCAAAATCTTACTTGACTCTTCTCGCTTTCCGTTTGTCTTAGCTTATTTTTCATTACTCCCTCATTGTCATCTGCTTTAGCTTCTTGTTTATTCAGTGCCTAAATGAAAACAATTGGGAATAAATATATTATTCAAAAAATTTTGTTAAACAGAAAGTCACTGGTGATATTTACTAAGAAAAGGCTGAGAAGGATATGCTTATGACAAAATCTACAAATGAATTACAATCTGCTCAATCACTGGATTTCTAAGAACATTTTAGTGGGGATCAAGTATATAACTTACTTCCTAATCTTCATAATCAATTTCTATCTTGTTTCACTTTTTCTCATCTCTGGGAATTTTGTTACATATTTACAGAGCCTAGCTAGCTAACAAGTGTCTAGAGAACAAACAAACTTGCTGCTTGTTTTGGTTGCTTCTGCTGTTCTAACAGAAAATACCACAAATGGATGGCTTGAGCAAACAGGGACTTATTCTCTTACAGTTTTAGAGGCCACAAGTCCGAGTTCAACGTGCCAGCTCTAGAGGCTGCATAAAGCCCCTCGACCTTGTGCTTTAGCTCTGCCTCTTTACTCCTGGCCCATTGGAGCTAGGTATCTCTTCGCTAGGCAGCTGCTGGCTGCTTAAGCTAATGAGCCCACAACCACCAAATAAAATGGCACAGTCCCAATATTATCAAATAACACAGCACACCACTAGTTCAAGTCCAGAGTTAGTCCCAAGATCGGCAGGAACCGTGGCAGGCTACTGAATGAAGACTCAGCTACATGCAGGGTCCAAGCGGGCCAAAAAGCTACAGACACTGTTCTCAAAACTTCTTATATACTGGAAGCAGACCATAGCCCTAGGCAGCTACTCAGCTGCTCCAGTTGGTTCCACAATGAAATTGATTACCAATCTCATCATGGAGACTAACTACATTCAGCTGCCCAGCCACTCAAAACCAGGCCCAGCCAAGTCGAAACATAACCTTAACTACCACACTGCTGAAATAATAGTAGTTCTATCATCTATTCAACTATTTAGACATAGTATCAAAAGCCAGCTCCCTAAAAACTCTGAAAAATTATGCTCAAACAGGGTAGAAACATACTTTTGTAATATTATTACATACATGATCTTTTATTGTGACACATAACTGGCTCTTCAAACCACACCTTACATAAATACGTTTTCCATTTTCCTCTTTTTAATGAAATGGGGGAAAAAATAACTTTAAGAGAATATAAATTTTAAAAGTTAGACACCAAAGTGCTTTGGTTTTTCCATGAAAAAAGTTTTTTTAAAAAATACTTAAGGAAAAGAAGTTGTACTTGGAGCAGTTTTTCCAAATATCTAAAAGGCATGCCATTCATTAAGAAAAAAAAAAAAAATCTGACAACTTCAGCATTTAGACTTAGCAGTTTATTGAAGAAGACAAACAAATTGAGAAAGGCCAAAACGCCAGAAGTCTTTTCCAACAAGACATATATGCTCAATACAAAAACTAGTTTTAGGGAAAAGGAGAGAAAACAAATCTGATCTAAGTATACTCAATCATAATCAATTTCATTAACTTATGAATTTAACAATATCTACCAAGTGAATTTTCTACGTGCCAGCCATTGTGCTAGGCACTACTTCTGAATATGCATATGTAATAAATATGACAGTAATCCATAAGACTACTGTCCACTCTGCCGTGGCCCCCATTGTCCTGGGTTAAATAGCAACTGGGTAAAAAGGCAGAGAAAATCAAAATGAAATAATTCTGGTTTGCATATAATATTGCAATAATGCTGAACAAGTCTGGAGAGTTTACTATTAACACGCTTATTGAGTACTTTACATATATTCATATATACTTTTAACAGCTCTGGTAGCATAGTGCCTAAGGCACTTGAGTGCTAACCAGAAGGTTGGCGGTTCAAATCCACCAGCCACTCCTCAGAAGGAAGATTAGGCAATCTACTTCCCTAGTGATACCACCTGGGAAACCCAAGGAGGGGTTGCTATGAGTCGGGTCCAACTTGATGGCACATAACAATAACAACAACAGTATACTCTTAATCCTCATGATAATTCCCATGAGTTATCATTAAGCTCATGTCATTTAAGGGAAAACTGGGGCACAGAGAATTGAGTAACAGGCCAAGGTCACTCACATAGTAACAGAATAGAGATTCAAGCTTTCTGGTTCTTAACCATTGAGTGGCACTGCCTCCCCATGTTCAAGTAATACCAACCTGAGCTGGTTACGGTGAAAACTAAATGATCTGCTAATTGTAATGCACACAGAACAATATCCAGTACGCATTAAATGTTCAATAAAAGACAACTATTAAAGTTGCTGAATTGTTAAAATTGATGAAGTATTAAAAAGCATAAAATCTAAAACCAAAAAACAAACTCACTGCCATTGAGTCAGATCTGATTCATAGCGACTCCTCCTTGGGTCTCCAAGGTGGTATCACTATGGAAGGAGATTGCCCAACCTTCCTTCTGAGGAATGGCCGGTGGGTTTGAACTGCCAGCCTCCTGGTTAGCAGTCAAATGCTTTAGGCACTACGCCACCAGGGCTCCTATTAAAAAGTATATGCCTTTCAAATAGTTATCAAATGATTTTGATGTGTGATATTTGTTCTATACTGTAGCACAAGTGTAATTTATACAAATATTCAATTCCATATGCATAATGCATTTTTTGCTGGGAGGGCATGTTTATAAATATTTCATAATAAAATTACCCTAGGACATTATTGCTGCTGCCTTATTTTTTCATGATTCCTCTGTCTTCCCCATCCAATGTGTGCATGTGTGTGAGAGTATGTGTATATATGTGTGTGTGTGTGAGGATGTGTGTGTATGTGTATATGAGAGACACAGAAAGATGTTGCTACTTTTTATCAATTCACTTTATAAATTTTTGACTGTCTTATCCATTAACATAATTATTGCAACCTAGCCCTGCTTTTTTATGAGTTAAAATTAATCAATTATCTTTTCAATATTTTTTCTAATTTTATCATCTTTTTTTTATTATTATTATCATGGTGAAACATACACACAAAAAAAATCTGCCAACATAACAACTTCTTCATTTACAGCTCGGAGACATTGATGGCATTTTTCATGTTGTGCCACCATCATTGCTATCCTTTCCCAAATATTCCACCACCATTAGCATAAAATCAATGCTCCACAAACAAAAGCCTCCCCTTTCCCCCTCCCTCCCACCCCTGGTAACCACTAATAACCTTTGGTTTCTATATATGTATATTACTTTTCTTTTTCTTTCCCAGTCTATCTAGGAATTTTCTCTCATCCCATCCCTGGTAACCAACAAAGAAAGTTTTCTTCTATATATAAACCTTTCCCTGACTTTTTACAATAATGGACTAGTACAATATTTGTCTTTCTGTGATTGACTTATTTCACTCAGCATAATGTCCTCCAAGTTCATCCACATTATGTGGCATTTTTCAGCTTCTACATTATTAGTTAGGGTTGCATAGTATTCCATTGTGTGTATGTACCACAGTTTGTTTATCCATTCCTCAGTTGACGGGCATTTACGTTGTTTCCATCTCTTTGATATTGTGAATAGTGCCTGGGTGTGCATGTATCTGTTAGTGTCCTGCCTCTCACTTCCTTAGGATCTATACCTAGTAATGGGATTGCTGGGTCAAATGATATTTCTATTTCCAACTTTTTAAGGAATCACTATACCAATTTCCACAGTGATTATATCATTTTACAGTGCCACCAGCAGTATATGAGAGTTCCAATCTTTCCACATCCTCACCAGGATTTGTTATTTCTGTCTTGTTGAACTTTGCTATTAATACTAGAGTGAGACAGTATCTCATGGTAGTTTTGATTTATATCTAACAGCTAATGATCGTGAACATTTCTTCATGTGTTTGTTGGCTGCCTGAATATCTTCTTTGGTGAAGTGTTTGTTCATGTCTTCTGCCTGTTTTTCAGTTGAATTGCTTGTCCTTTTGATGTTGAGCTGTTGGAGTTTTCTACAAATTTCATAGCTAAGACCTTTGTCTGATATGTCATTGCAGAATATTTTTTCCCATTCTGTAGATTCTCTTTTTACTCTTTGGGAAAAGTCTTTTAATGTACCTAAGAATTTAATTTTTAGAAGGTCCCAATCACCAAGTTTATCTTCTGCTGTTTGTGCATCTTAGATTATGCTTGATAGTTGTTTATACCATAAATTAGGGCCCCTAAATTTGCCCCAATAGGAGCTCTGGTCGTATAGTCCCTAGGGCATTTGACTGCTAACCAGAAGCCTGGTGGTTCAAACCCAACAGCCACTCCTTGGAAGGAAGACTGGGCAGTTTACTTCATAGAGATACCGCCTCAGAAACTCAAGGAGGGGTCGCTATTAGTTGGAACCGACTCAACAGCAGTGAGTTCGGTTTTTGGTTTTGGAAGTTTGCCCCGACTATTTCTTTGATGACCTTTATACTTTTAGGATTCACACTTGAGTCTTTGATCTATCTGGAGTTAGTTTTTGTGTATGGTGTGAAATATGGATCTTGTTTCAGTATTCTGCAAATGGATATTCAGTTTTGCCAGCATCATTTGTGAAAGAAACTATCTCTTCTCCATTGAACGGATTTTGGCCTTTTCTTTTCAATATTTTTCATTGGACTAAAAACCAGCCACAAGAAGAGGGATTCTAAGGAAGACTTCTTCAGGTAGATGATAAGTTTCATCAAACTATGTGAACAGGCAAACTCCACTTCTGGATTCAAACTCCTGAGCAGAAGCCAATCCAAATGAGCACCCAGTGAAGACTCGTCCAAGGGAGGTGAAGATATTGGAGGTTGTAACATCAGAAGGACAGAAGGACTAAACAACTACCAATAAGGGTTTGCCCCAAGCACAAGAGTCATTCCAAAGCTGTGAAAAAGTTGAAAGGACAAACCTAGTGACCAGATCACAGCTTTCCAAAACTGGACACAACTAGTGGGAAGGAATAAAGAATGGAAAGAGAGTTCAAACTAATTTGGCAGATCTTGCAGCCATCACCCAGGAGTAGCTATGACAAAATGATCTTTGCAATGTGACTTTGTGCATCTCATCATGTTCCAGATTC